AGCTCCTTAACAAGCTAGACCGTCTTCTTAATAACTGCATTCGATATATATTCAATCTTCGAAAGTATGACCCCGTGTCTGCTTTATGTTCTCAACTACAATGGTTGCCTATTCGCCTGCGTCGTAATCAGCGAGCGCTGATCTCTCTCTTTTCATTTCTCAACTCCCCATTCTCACCCACTTATCTCGATCCCTATCTGCGTTTCCTGTCCACTATGACAGAAATCTCCGCTCCCATAATTCCGACTTCGTGAACTCTTCGTTCTTTTTACACAAGTACATAAAGTTGTAAATAAATTAAATATGCCTTCTGTTCGGTATGATTTTTTTTTTCAAATATGTGTTTAAATAATAACATTAGGCTAGTAAACTTAAACTATGTCCGGGTGCTGACGGATTTAAAATAAAGAGTGTCACCCCTATTCAGCCTGTGGGTATCGTAAGAGCCGACTAAGGGAGCAAAGAGCAAATTACGCAGGCCAACAGCACTGCAAAAAGAAGGAAAAATTGAAACAAACCCTATACCAACCCGTCTGGCCAGCTTGGTTTAGTAGGCCAAAACCTCCTTTTTCAGGCGAGGCCTATGTCCCATAGTGAACTTTTAAAGGCAGTTGATGATGAAGCTTATACTGTATATTACACAAGCAGAAATATGACGCTAATATAGTGTGTATTCATCAACAGAACCACGATGTTTAGTAGAGAGTTATGTAGTCAAATTAGATGACGTCACAAGTTTCAGATGTGTTTTCAAGTAAAAGTCATTTATCAGCCATGGAAGTGACTGTTTTAAAAGGAACAGAAACGTCTAATAGGTACCTATGAAACTTCTTACGCACCGAAGCATAAATCTTACAAAGGTAGGCGCTCTCTAAATAGTCATCCGCTTAGAAGCCGTAAGGTTAAATTTACTATTTCTTCATTTTATTAAACACTCCACGAGTAAGTTAGCCCAAGTGCTATTTTATACCAGGCTTAGTTAATTAACAATTTAGTTTATCATTCAAATGTAAAATTCAAAGTAAGAATAAACTTAAGATTTTCAAATTAAATTTAGGTAAGTAGAGGCTTGCTTTAAGACCCAAGGAACGTAAAATTATAAGTGCTATAATTAAAATTTGTGAACGACAGTTAGTAATTAAATGTTAAAATAAGGTATACATTTTGTGGTAGATATTATTTTGATTGAAATTAAGTTTTAAAAGGTATGCAAAAGGTTAGTTACTGACTTGCGAGATGGACAAAAACAATTATTCTACTGAGATCCACTTCTATGGTAGATAATTTATGGCAAGGTATAGTTTAAGACCTTAGTCCACAATAAAGAATTGAAGATTTTCGTGGCTTTTTTTATTTATTCTTTTACTATGTTGACTTAAAGTGCATAATTATACGAATATATATATTAATAACATTGTTCCTTGTCCAAAATATAAAAAATAATATAAACTACATACATAGATATCAATTGACTTATGCAATTCAGGACCTATTTCTTAGCGTTCCATGGATTCACCGTGCGGGTGCCGGGTCCAGCGCGTGATAGATCGGGGCAACACATGCGAGTTCGACAGCGCCTGGGACTTGCGACCCTTGTATAACCTTTGGGAGTACTCCGTCAAAGCTCACCTCCACTGCCTGCTGTGTTACCCCTCTACCTAACCATATTTGATACGAGCCTAGTAATGCTGCTTTGGATATTCGTTTAAGAAAAGCACACTTAAGCTCTTGGCAATCCAAGATCTTTAAGCAGGTTATAGAGGAATTAAGCTGGTATAAAACGCACCCGCTTCCATGGCATACAACGCAACGACATAACCAGTTTTAGCTATTTTGTTGGTTAAATCAAAGTGCTTGTTTTTTTTAAAGCGTGATCTTTGGGGATGTTGGTTTCCCACGGCACCATGAGTTCTACTAGTACTACACGCTTAATTTAAATTGAATAAAGAAATATGTCTGGTCTGGACCCCGAGGCACAGATATCCTCTTGTATTCTGTAATGATTTTCATACGTGTCTGGACATTATCCAGACACTGGCGTTATTTATAATTGAGTACGGCTTTTGTAAAGTATTTTTTTTGTTGAGCCTTCCTTTACAAACGCGATGTTGGTTGCTATGTTTGTTGTTATTCCTTTTTTATACATAGTTTTACTAATAGCCCGGTCTAATAGCGCCTTACAACCTGTCAGTAAGTGCCTGGCTGTACCTATTTCCGCACTGCACATCGTGCAAGCCTTTTCTGTAGCTTTACCCACCTTACTAGGTTCTTTTGATCGGGGAGAGTCAATTGAAAGGCGTTGAGGTAACATTTTAACAGGGCAGGTGACCAATCGTATAAATGTGTTCGCCATTTCAAAAGCTCGTATGATACAAAATTCTCCTAGAGTTAACTATTCATGCCGCATTTTTAGGTTCATTGCGTGCACCTTGTAGGTCTCGTTTACTATTGTTGTGGAAGGATTTTGTGATCTCTTTGTCGGTCTGTCTTCTAGCATTTTACAATCCAACTCTACTGGACTGTGTACCTACTGTGAATTTCTTATGGAATTGGAGCCGTAGCTCGAGCTCTGATGAATTTTGTCTTTTGGAAGGGATCTAAAGATTTCGTCTTGTGATTTTGACAAAACATGCATTTTGTTAACTCTTAGGTATCTGTAGAGTTCTGAAGGTCTTTTTAATTTCATTCCAAAGTTATTCGAGCACCTGTACAATGTTGACGGGTCTGCATATGTTGCTAGCCCGAGCCACGACTTCTTTCGCGTCATGTTCTGAAGTGGTTCTGGTTTATATCGTATACCAGAAACGGCCACTTGATGATGATGATGTTAAGCAGTTGTCGTAAATCCAAGCTTTTTTTCGTTACTTATTGGCTGTTGGTCTACTTGGAAATGTCTATTACCAAGTCATCGACTATTGCGTTCATAGATGGAGTACGACCTTTGTAGTCTATCATTCTTCTAAGGAATTTAAAAGACACGGTTACCTTTATTATTAAACCACTTTCCAAACCAATGGTAATCCCGGGGTCATATAAGGTATATCTTATATTTATTGGCAATAGCATTTGCTAGGTTTTGTCCTCATTCCCTCCGTCCAGGTACAGAAGTCATCCACCTTACGCAGTAGTTCTTGATACTGCTTCAGGTTACGTGTGAGGATCGCGAGTTCGTCTGCGAATGCTAAGATGTATTCAAACTTCAAACAGCTGTGATTACAAATTTTCATTTACTATAGTATGATGCAATTATTTCACAAACTATTGGCGGGAAGTTATACCATTTCAAGGCAAATAACAGAAGCTCGTGTCCCACTGAGCGAAAGCGTTTTCTAAATCTATCCAACAGAATGTAATTTGTCTTTCATTTTTCCCAGCATCTTTGAGACTTTCCGCAAGGAATGTGTTACGTTCCAGACATCCAGAGATTCCGAGCATGAACCCTTTCTGGTAATTTTGTCTAAAGTAATTATTATTGTTGGACATCAACTGTAATCTGTAAATATCTGTAAACATTCCGCGTATATTGGATGGTTATTTGTTAATAAACTAGCTTCGCGTGCGATTTCGTTCGCGTGGAATTTGAAAAGCGCTACCTTAGTCGTGTAGTTACGGTACGCGACAGCAGTCCATGAGGCCTTAGGTTCGATTCGTGGATCGGACAAAATTTTATAGGGTTTGAGAGGAAAAATAGACAGGTAGTAAAATATTATCAAAATCGGTAAAGTCGTTTAGAAAATTAGCCGGAACTAACAGACAGACAAAAATATTCAAACTGGTTTTTAGGTTTAGGCATTAAGCAAATAACCGCGTCAGCATGAAAAAACCTATTATTTTTACATTCTGATTCTGATTACAAACAGACAATTCAATTTTATTTATTTATATATATAAAGATATAAAACGTTGCATGTATCCAAATTCATTCATTACAAAATGTAATGTAAATATATATCTTATGGGATGAATAGGGGTGGTATTCTTACGTCACCACATGGACGGTAATACAAGATATATCCTCAAAAAGCTAAGTCACAAACAGCATTCAGGTATTTTGGAAGTATAAACAACAATTGTATCAAGTTTTTTTTTTCTTGGCAGTTCTGTTGTCCTGCGTAATTTGTTCCCCACGGGATGAATAAGGGTGGTGACACTCTGTATACACAATCAAACCCTGTACCAACTCGTCTGGCCAGCGTGGTATAGTAGGGCTTAAACCTCCTTTCTAAGGAGTGGCATATGTCCAGTAGTGGACTAATAAAAGCTGTTGAAGAAACAACAATTTATAAGCGTCATGTTATGCATTAAATCATCTAAATGATAGATCTGTCACGTTATAAGTAGAACAATTCCTTTATACCATGGCCTAAAACCTCATAGGAGCAAATTTTTAAAATAAATCAATGTCGTCATAAGGTATTTGGCTAATTTACCAGGTGTAGGCTACTAATATAAACTAATAATAATCTCAGTTGCATAGTTAAAGGAACAAGGAATATGAAGTTAACTCAAAGTTAGGCAAAACTACATTTTTACTATCATAGTTATTGCTATTGTTTGCCGCACTATCATCATTGGCAATCGCTACGGTTAGTTAGAGCCCTAAAAAGCCCGAAAACAGTCTTTCTACAGAACTTCGATACCCCTACTTTGGTTGTTTGCATCTGATGACAGTCGTTCCGCTAGTAGACTTAAAAGCCAACCCCTAATCCCCTACCTAGTTTAGGAAACAAGCTTAGATGAAGAAGTAAAGAAGACTAAGTATTTATGAAAGATTTTTTTTACACAGTTTTACTCATTTGGAGTCGGAGCTTTTTCAAAGAGACTTCCAGAAGATAAACAGTTTTACCCATTTGGAGTCGGAGCTTCTTCAAAAAGACATCCAGCCGTGACGGCGACCAGCGTCACACCGTTTCCCTATCGGTTTCTAAATTAGATTGCCATTATCGTAATGCACACATGAATAAAATAAAACCCAAATAAACAATGAAAAAGTCACTTACCAATGACATCGATAAACTTAGTGGCGACTTGCGTGGCAAAAGACGGCGACTCCGCTGTAACTTCGCAGGTAAAATTTCCTGCTAAGCCGAGGTCCAATTTTCTTAGTAGAACCTGAGTGCCGTTTGATCTGTTCATCTGAAAGGCAGAATGCAGGGTTATTTAATATTTCACAAGCTACAAGTTTCAATTATGGTTTATGAGGACCGGATGGCGTAGTGGTTTGTGTAATAGACTGCTATTCCAAAAGTCGCGGGTACGATTCCCGCTCAAGTCAAACATTTGTGTGCATGAACTTTTAATGTTTGATTTGGTCTGGGTGTTTCTATGTATAATATGTATGTATTTACAAAAAAAAGTATATATGTATTTATATCGGTTGTCTAGTAATCATTGTACAAGTTCTGTTTAGTTTGGGACTAGATGGCGTTGTGTGAATGTGGTTGAATATTAAAGTCTCTAGGATAAAGCGAAAAAGTTTATAAAATTCTTCCAAGGTTTCTTTGAGATTCTAACATTCGATTTATTAAAATTTTATACTGTTTGACATGAATTTTAAATAACTTGTATTTAAACCCACTACTTAGGTTCAGCAGTCTGGATCAGTAACCACTTGACCAAAACGTTATTTGTTGGTTCAATTCACATCCGTGACCATTGTGTGATTACGGATATAAATTACGGATGGATAAATACGAACGGTTCGTATAAAAACAAATCAAAATCGTCGCTCACATCATCTGAGAACGCATTCCACATAAACAGACTTATAACTCAGATCCCCACATTGCATTTCTTAAACGGTGAAATGCAATACCTAAAATGTATTCTCTTCATTCAGCAAGCTTTATAGTGATTGAAGATTCAAACAATACACGAGACACAATAAAATCCATATTTAACAGGATGCAATCAATGTAGTAGATCATCGAAACGAATTTAAAAGCATCAATAGACTACGTTTCTCTCAAATAATGCATCCAAAAGGTTTGAAAAACCTCGTTTCGTGCTGGATCGCCTTGAGTATCGGTTCCCATCTCGATCCAGTTTTTATCGATCTAATCTAACAAAGTGAGAGCGTACTGGTTACGCTGAGAATGAAACTGAAAATGTTTTCAAATATGATCACAATTTGTACTTTATTTGTCGTTTCTGTACCTTTTAGTAGACTTTTTTTTATCGCCGAGTGTGAGTAATATTCAAGCGTGAAACTGGCTTTACTTGTTTGAAATTCGTAATTTTTAGGGTTCCGTACCTCAAAATGAAAAAACGGAATCCTTATAGGATTTTTTGTTGTCCGTCTGTTTATTTTTCTGTCGGTCTGTCAGAACTATGAAATTTGGCAAGTAATATTGCCTTAAACAACAAGAACAGGTAAAAATTTGAAAACGAAAGATTTGGAATTGAATCATAAAAACTATACTCTTTATTTAAAGTATATAATCAACCATCAAGGTGCAATTTTACATAAAACACAAAAATATGGGTAATAATAGGTTTTGGAAACTCGTCAAAAGCTCGGAAAAAAAACTGCGAAACTCGATTCCTGAACTGTTGGTAATAATATTAGAGTTCTTTACAAATTGGTAGGTAAATATGGTACGTTGGGAGGTACGAATTATGTACCTACTGAACCTTCGGTGGGCGAGTCCAACTAACACTTGTTCTAAATTATTGTTTTTAATTTCACATACGTTTCTAGGTTTCATGTAAAGTATTTGTTTGCTTTAAACAATATTGTATGAAAATGTAGCTACTACTTGACGACTAACCGTTGTGTACATTACCAGAGATATGCAATGCATATATCGCAAACCTATCTCCGTTATTAGACCGTTGTGAATAGAATGAAAAAAAAACTAAGTACCTGAGATAAAGAAGAGACAGTATTTAGAGGGAGAGATATTACTTAAAATTAGTACTACTAGATGTTTTTTTTTGTATAAGGGGGCAAACGAGCGGACCTGAAGGTAAGCAACTAGATTCGCCCATGGACCCCTGCAACTCAAAAGTTACAGGTGCGTTTCTACCCTTGGAGTCCCTCCCGCTTGAGTCAGCGGGATTTGTATAGTTTAACTAACAATTCAAGTAGGTCAGAGTCGCGTTTAAAATTATTTATAGCCCTCTTCAGAACTAGGAGGGGGGGGAGGGCGTTGGGGTTTGTCCTCCGACAGCCTCACCCACTCGCAATGAAAATAATGCTAAATACCAGTTTTCTGTGAAACAGTGGTTGAGCTGCCCGAAGTGTATCCACTTTACTTATAAAGCCATAAAGAAAAGTGCTCGACATTAAATTATTTCAACTCCAAACCAAAAAAGGTTTTTTTTTTGGAGTTTATTTAAAGAATTAAATCACACCAATCAGGTACTATCCACCCGTGTAATAGCATCTTCAATCTGCCCGTGAGGGTCTGAAATAAATACCAGTTCATTCTGAAACAAGAAAAGCTTATTGGCATACCCTGATTACTTTTATGGAACCCTTGGGTAGATTCAAAATCAGAGGATAATCTAGCTACATTTAACTTCGGTTATAAATGGATATTACACCTTTATTGTAGGTTTTAATGAGAATTACTTAATTTTATGTGAGCTTTTCAAGACAGTTTTTGCCTCGCACAACCAATCTGTGGAACAAGTTATCGTCTGCGGTATTTTCGGACCGATACGACATCCAAACCTTCAAGAAAAGAGCGTACTTCTTACTCGAAGGCTGGCAACGCGCTTGTGACTCCTGAGATGCAGGCGTTCATGGGCGGCGGTAGTCACTTTCCACCTGGTGACACGTCTGCTCGTTTGTCTACTCTCAAAAAAGAAAAACTGTTTCAGTAGTTTTAATTTTGAATAAATTATACAGTTTTGTGACTGTAGATCACGTTGTAGACCGTATTTAAATGGTTTTCAGATTTAGCTCAAAAATGAGAGAAGGTTTATGTAAGAAATACATTCATTAAATTTACTCGATGGACCTGTTGGTCTACTGGTTAGTGACCGCTTAGCCGGAGCTCGTGGGTTCGATTCCCACCCAGGACAAATATTGTGTGATGAGCACGGTCATTTATCGTGTGTCTGGGTGTAATTTATCTAAAATATGTATGTATTTTAAAATATTTTAAAATATCTATGTGGTGAGTAAACTACGCAGAACAACCACACTGCAAAGAGAAGGAAAACTTGAAACAAACCCTATACCCATCTAGCCAGCGTGGTATAGTAGGCCAAAACCTCCTTTCTGAGGAGAGGCCTATGTCCAGCAGTGGACTAGTAAAGGCTGTTGATGTTGAAGTATGATTATCAGTAGTCTGGTTACCATAGCACAGGCTCTGCCTAGTTTGGGATTAGGCTGCCGTGTGTGAGATGTGTGAGGTATATTGGCAATGTGGCAATACATAAATTTATTATTTCCTTTACATTTATGTTTATATCAATAAATAAAATATGAAAACGATGTGGAACAAACTATATTTCTTACCTCAGTCAGACATTTTTGCCAATTGACTGCCTCGGTGGTGCAGTGAAAGCGTATGCATACGACTGCTGTGCTGAGGTCTCTGATTTTCTCACCGGGTTGGACCAAATATTTGTATGATCTACAAATATTTGTTTCGGAGTGTGTTTTCCATGTATCATATGTATGTATTTAAAAAAAAAGTATATAATTATATTCATACATACAACGTATATTTATATAATTAAAATATTTCGGACACCTAATACACAATGCCATCTAGTTTCAAAATCAGCAGAGCTTCTACTATGAAAGCTAGATCGACCGATAGAATACTTATATAAGTTTTTGTAAATACACACATTTTACATAGAAAACACGAAAACTCGAAATCGAACGAAACAAATATTTGCAGATCATACAAACACTTGATCCAAACCGGATATCGAACCTGAGACCTCAGCACAGCGGTCGCATACGCTACAACTGCACTACTGAGGCACCAATATAGGTAATGAATCGAATTTTAAACATAAAAAACCCAGAACCATGATTCTACTACAATCCATTCAGTCCATGGCCAGCTCAGACTGATACCACAGTCTTACAGTAAAACCGGTGTTAGGCAATTCCTTCGTAGTCTTTCACAGAATGAGTTAGGTTTCCGGGGACTATATCCCTTCTCTAACTATGTAGGTATACAAAATGTTATTAAAATTTATCGCAGATATTCAAAGTAATAAAAATAATAATAATTTATTGACATTTAAGTTGGTACACATATGATTGAGAATCCCCTGGCTCCTGCGCTAGTTTAAACTGTGTTGCAGGAGACAATGTCTTCCGCACGTAATCTAAAGAACTCAATGTCATAGTTAAATAAGCAATACAATGAAAAAAAGACACAAACAAAACAAAAAGAAATTCAAAAATAAATAAAAAAAAACTTAAACATAAGAATCATCTGATTAACTTTAATTACCCTGTTCTGTGTAAAGTAAATAGATAATCAATTAACATAAATAAATGAAAATATGGAATGGCATGGAATGGGAGAGGCCTACGTCTAACAGTGGACTGCGGTAGGCTGATGATAATATGAAACGAAAATATATAAATTTAAGTAATAACTTCAAATCGATTTTACTTACGTCAACGATGATCCCTGGCAATCCAAACACTCTTGTGTCTGGCACCTCGTTGGGAGTATATCTGTAGAACTCGTGGTTCCCACGATACCATTTGACAGAGTACAGTTGGACTCCCTGCATGTCCCTCGAGCATACGAGGGCGGCAGTACCACCTCGGATGACAATAGATGGCTCAACTATAAGTACGACGTCTCGAAGACTTGTGACACCTAGAACAATAAAACAACTGTTAGCGATGTACAATTGCAAAATAAACAAACACCTTTACGGGTTGTATCATTTGTAAGTTAGCAATGCTTTGCTGACTCGAACGATGACTATGCTTATCCATCAGACTAGAATTGATGTGAAATAAACTCACACTAGGCACAGTACGAATCGATCGATCGTACGATCGTCATTGGCCCGCACTGAAAGCTTCACCAATCATCATCATCAATTAATATTAGAAAAAGGTCAAATGCATCTGCATTGAAGTCGGTGTTACCTGCAATTTTTTTAAACTTGTACTCGTAATTTAAAAAGAATTATTATCTGTTTTTTCATTTCCTTAATCATCGCCCATGGGAATGGTTTCTTTTTTAATTTAAATGAGATCAAACGGGAAGGACTTATACCGCTTCAATTAAAAATAAATAAAATTAGTTTATAAATATTGGAGTTCAGGCAACGTCCGGCACACGTGGGTGTCACCTCCTCGCGGCTGGCCACAAAATCGTATGAAGGGGAAAATCCGTCCCGTCCACCTGCTGGCTTAGTGTGGATACACTTATAGGGAGGCGCTAGTAAGCTCGCCTAGGTCGCGAAGGTCCGAGTGAATGTCATTCTCCTGGTCCCTCTCCGAAGCCTAATTCTGCAAGATAACGTCTTCGCAGAAGAATGCGACCGCAACCTTCATAAGGTTGATTTTTATCTAGATTTACATCAGGTAGTATTTAATATAGTACATTCATCAAAACCAGGACTGTGTGTCCAAGCTCTTGAAAGTTCAGAGGTTATTTACGAATCTCGGAATAAACACTTAAAGCTCACCGGTATAAAATACAATAATTCACAATATTGTATTCAGTGAAATGTGTTTAACTTTGTTACGAAATTTACTAAAATATTTGAATACGCATTAACAACGTAAACTTATTTCTAAACATTGAATGTTTAAAATATGTTGTAATATTAATAATACAATGGAGTACGTTTCAATTGACATTAAACCCAGTTTATTAAACAAAAGATATTACATGCGGTTCATTATCAGTAACAAGATTCAGTAATAACTTGAATAAAACTATTCAATTGATTTGTAAGACTTGTTAGTGACAAAATAAATTAAATTAGCGCCATCTACCGAACGTAAGCTGAACTATGTAGAAACTACTGGTCTTTTTTGGCGAAAATTATCACTATCTATTTTCTATCTTTTACAACCTCTGCTTAAGCTAAAGAATCATGTATCAACTGCCGAGTTTGGAGTATGAAGATAGTCAAACGTGGAAAATGTTTCCTTTAAGTCACAAGACCTTTACACGCGTTCCTCCAAAGAGGAGGAGAGAATATTTAGAGAATAATCGACATTATTAAAACCGGGTAAGATTCAAATTTGAATACAACACGGAGAAAATAATTCTATTGACGTCAAAACATAATAATATATCATTGTTCCCATAGCTCACCCCCAAAAAACACGAATGATAAAGTATGATCATATTTCTTGGATGTCTAATAGAGGGTATTCCGAAACAGAGATCGATTGTCGCATAACTCTCAAGAGATCAAGCTGATATTGTCTGACCACATCAGGGTAATAAAATAACGCGTGTTGCCCTCGATTTAGAATAAATATACTATGGCAACATATATGAAATATAAAATCTTGGATTATGGTTTTTCGTTCGACTGCAGGTATAATAATATAAGACACATTGTTCGTAGAAGGGATATATAATCAAACTAATTATAAATGTAAAGGATTTTGAGTTTAATTTGGTTAGAAAATAAATTACATATTCATTAAAAAGTAAATCCGGAAATGCTGTATATAATTAATGGAACACTTTAATAATAAGATATTTTGTTTCCAATATTTATGTAGTGCTAGTGGAAAGATGTCATGCCAGTCCAGGTGTCTTACAGTAAGGCGAGGCGTTGGACCTCCCTCACAGAGAGGAGAGGTGTCTTCTACAAAAAATACCTTGTTTAATAGCTGAATAAATGCTTTACTCAGACTAGCTTATACTATTATGTTTGAGGATATTGTTTAATAATACACTGAAAATACACACACATATGTATCAATAAAAATACACTCTGTGATATGCTGTTTTTTTTAGCAGTATTTATCCAATGGGCAGTAAAACTGTCTTATACAAATAAAGGGCCTGGTTTTAAAACAAATAAACAATCATATTTTCGAAATAAATCCGAGTCAGAGCCCTGTAATCGTGTCAGAAGCCAATTCCAGCAATGCTTCGTTTTCTGTTAAAATTTCTCAGTGAAATACGAACTAATACGGTTACCTCATACTCCGTAGAACCACACCAAGCCCACTCCGTATTTCAACAATTAAAACATAATATTATTTTAAAAATAGTAAAGAATTTAATTCATGAATGTTTACGAAGATTATGATACACTACATTTTGACCATAGCAAGCTACTCTATTAGTAGAGTTATATAAACAACCTTATTTGTTTACTTACAAGGCAGAGTACATACAGTTGCTTCACAAATAGAATTCAGGCTCTCATGTTTGCCTTGTGGTTTGAAAACTAAATATAGAAGCTTTCTCTTTATATAATACGGTAGGAAAACCACTTTAAATGTTACGAGTATATTAAACATTTATTATAATTCCTTCAATTGCTGGTTCGATATATATGTACAATTTTCACTGGCTTCTTTAATAATAGTCAAAGTTGCTATGTTTTACTATGACTTTTGTTCACGATTTTCTGAAGTATCCTTTTTAGAATAGGAATACCAAAAATAAGAGTTTATTTTTTCATAAACGTCAAAGTAGTCATCACATCACATCAACAGCCTTTAATATTCTACAGCTGGATATAGACCTCTCATCGGAAAGGAGGTTCTGGCCTACTATTCCACGCTAGCCAGACGGGTTGGTATAGGGTTTGTGTCAAGTTTTCCTTCTCTTTGCAGTACTGTTGACCTGCGTAGTTTTCTCCCTTAGTTGGATCTTACGACACCCACGGAATAAATAGGGGTGGTGACACTCCGTATTCTCAATCCCGCACCACACGGACGCTGGTGCTAGTATTGAAAAAAGAAGATTGTGAATGATGTCGTACAGAGTAACCCACTTTTGCATGATCATCAGGTAGATTTGAAAAATGAGTACAGTTAAGAACAAAATGCATTGGTTCCATTATTTGGATTCAACAGCCAAATGAATGTAAATAGAATAAACTCGCAAACATTCTGTATTCTTAATCCGTCACCACGCAGTCAGAGTAGTACTTACGTTTAAATGTATGTCAGTGATTTATCTAATTATTATAACAGTACACATTCCGAATTACGATTCTATAAAATATTTTATTATCTAATTAAACGTGAAGACGTGAGAAAATTGCATAATTAAAATTCTTACATCGTAAACTCAATAGTTGACTGTTTTATACGTTTGTTTATCTTTTGTAAACAAAATTAATTCAACCTTATAATATCTTTAGTAACTTAGTAAAAACCGACTTTAGAACCTGTATAAAAACACGTTCAAGGCTAACATATCTTACCTATAAACTATTTCTCTGCCAAATTTTAGGTCTCTGATACCTAAAAGTTATCTAGGAATTTCATCAAAACTTGCGAGAGCCCTAAGATCTCTAGAAACCTGGGCCTGTTCTAAATCAGTTTTAACCGGATAAGTACTGCCTCCCTGCTTAATTTTAAGACTCTTGTAAAAGTCATCTAGGACTTTCATATGAATCTCTGAGGGCCCCTAGACCATCTGAATCCAACCGTCTTTTAGATTCCAGGTCCTTACAAGCGGCAGTAATTATTAACCTCCAGGTGATATACTATTCTATCAAAAAATATCTGAAAAGTAAAGTATAAAAAAAACAATATTAACATCTGTTGTAAACTGTTTCCAATAAGGGGTAATATGAACATCAATTATGTTCGCGCACCTGTCGGTATTGACGGTTGATATCAACTTGCATTGTAACAAAAGCTGAAGATTTCAATAACGATATCCAAACTATAGAATTTCCTGGGATACTGAGGTATTGGGTATTACGGGAGTTACATTAATCAATATTTGAAAAGATAATTATGATGCTAGAAATTTTAATATAGATTGTTAAACAATTTACCTAAGAAGTCTAGTTACCAGTTGTTTGTGTAATAGAACTGTATATACTCGTAGGTAAGTGTATCATAAAGAATGAGAAAACTAAGGATTCTATCTATTAAAAGAAATGGCCTGCTGGTCTAGTAGTTAGTGACCCTGAACAGAGTAAATATTGTGTGGTGAGCACGGTCATTTGTTCTGTGTCTGGGTTCTTAGGGCATACTGAAAGTTTCTGGATTCTGATAAATAAGACTAGATATAAGACTTACGATACATTTTTTGTTTTTTAAAGTATATTCCCACGCACAAAGCGTTCACTGTACAAAGTGTTAAGTTATGCGGTATCCATCGAGTAATCGTGATAAATCATAGCACGAAATTTTTCACGAGTTAAATCCATAGTCATAAAGACACGTAATTTTTAAAATGACGCCACAAAGGATAAAAAAATAACAGCTGCATGAAACAAATTGTATTTTGCAGCCAAAGAGTTCAATTTTTGATATTATAATAACTTTTTTAATATTGTTCTGTAACTGGCCAGTTCCGGATACATAAATAGCAGCCCTCGTACTACTAATCCGATTTTGAAAATTATATCACTGATCGAAAAGTATATTTTCCCTGGTCGCGATAACAGATATATACGCAAGCAGAGGCAAAAGCTGGTTTTAGAGATTTAGCATTTTCTCTTTTGTTTTCTAACAGTCAGTGGGAGTAATTTTCTGAAAAAGGACGGAAGTGGTAACAGAATCTAATATTGTTTGAATCAAACATTCATTCAAGAATGAATGCTCAAGGTGAACGCGTAGCCAGAGAACGCAGTGCTCAAGTTGAAGCTAAAGTTGATTACTGTAAGATGCGCTCTTTTTTATGTTAAAACTCTCTAAAAGAAGTACTTACTTCTTATAAAAAGCTGCAAACCTATTAAATGAGTCATAAGTCATTTAAAAAAATAATCATAAGATTTTGTTTATAAATACAATAGGCGTTTATCTTCTAACTCACCGGATGATATGTGTGGATGTAGATGGTACACGCTTATCCAAAAAAGCCTAATCACTCTATTCTTGACCGTAATATATTTTTTTCAATGCCCAGTTATCTTTCTTGAATGAAATATAAGTTTTTATACATGGTACATTTTATTCGACATGCAACACTTTGATATCGCCTACTACTTGGATGGTGGAGGTCTGATGGTAGTCGCTAAGCGTAAAAAATAGAAGTTCAGCCGTTTCATACTAGACTTAAAACCGGACTAAAAAAAATGGAGTATTATATTCGAGTGCGGTAAGTCCAATGTTATTCGATTAGTTTGGCTAAAAAACACGACAGCTGAATAAACAAAGGGACGCAAATATTACGTGGCAACAGATTGTGTAGCTATAATTATATAAACACTCAAATGAACAGCGTGAGCAACTTAGTAAATTCCTAATTGGGTTGTTCATTAAAGCGTTCAATCAAAGCTTAAATGGAAAGTCAGGAAATTATTCGAGTATTTCAAATGAAGATTTTAATGAATATGAAGGTGGTTAAATAACATACAGCTGTTAAGCTGCTGACTATGTTCTGAAGTGATTTAATTAGATGATTTGAACAGATACCCGATGAGATTTCCGTACTAGACAAGACAATATAATGGGGTATTGAGGAATATGATATGTATGTTCGTATAGTTCATTTACTGTTTTGCTGTAACCCTTGACAAAGATTTTGCAAAATATTATCTTAGGTTGACCCGTTGAGATGTGAAAGATAAATAATATGATCATATTTCCTCCTTTCGTCTTAAATTAAATTGGCTCCCAATTCGTTAGCGTCGTCACCTGCGGGCACTAACGACTCTCTACACTATTCTCAACTCTCCTAACTCGCCTACTTACTTGACATCCTCCTTCCAGTTCTTGTGCTCCAATCATAACAGAACCCTTCGCTCTACAAATAATCTTCTACTCTTATGCCCTGCCCACACTTCTGCGTGTGTTCATTCTTCCTTCCTCACTCAATCTGTACTTCTATGGAATGCTCTTCCCCAGGATATCAGAATGGCGACCAGTCGTAATTCGTTTAGGCCGAAGGTGCGGGCTCTTCTTGACCGGAATGTAGCGGAATCATCACAAATATGATACTTTATGTATTATGGTATGTATGTATGTGTATATATATATAACACAATATATATGAATATGAATGTGTATTCTTGTATGTATACGTTGGTATTTATATATTATTTCATTGCTTTTTGCTCAGTATTGCTATCATTACTTCTTTTATGTCCACTTTATAATTCTCAACCAAAGGGTAGTGCACCTCCACACTCATTTCCACACCACCCTAAGGTAGACTGGTAGAGAATGCCTATGGCATTAAGTCCGCCATTGTACTTGTGTGCATAAAGTTGATAAATAAATAAATAAATAAATAAATAAATAAACGAAACAAAGTGACATTCCTACAACATCACAATAATATGATGAAATAATAAAATTTAAAAAGTATAAATACGAGGAAAAAAATTAGTCATCGTCGTCCACTTACAACTGAAAAGTAAAAGTGTAGTTGTCAGTCTTTAAACAGTAGAACTGGGGGGAGAGAGGGCAGGGGGCGATTACTCTTGACCTTACAGTCATACGTAATCAGTGAGATGCAAGGAAAGAATTGCTTTACACCGGTTTTCTTTGAGGCTCTATCATTCTGGACGAGCTAGACCATAGGTGCTGCAGCATGGACCTTACACGGTAAAACTTAGGCATACAAACTATTTGTCGTAACGTGGTATTAGAAGGTATAGTAGTTTTCACTGCAACGGTTCTTGATATAACAAAAAAAATTGCCTCACTATTCTTTTATATCTATAATATATTTTAATCACGTGAATCATTGAAAACTATGCTCTATTTAAACAGACAGCAAAATTCACCGATTATATAGTCAGTTGAAACTAAATGTTAAATGTAACAGGAATTTGAGGTATTAGTATTGTTTGCTTTACGACTGCACGGATGGCGTAGTGGTTTAAGCGGTCGCCACGCCGCTTCCTACTGCGCCGAGTGTTGTGGGTTCAAACCCCACATGGGACGACACTTTGTGTGATCCACAAATTGTTGTTCTGAGTCTGGGTGTCCTTTGTGTCCGTTTTATGTATGTTTGTAAAGTCCCCCGCGACACAGGATTTATTCCTAATGCGGGCGTTGTCTTTTTTTTAAAAAAAAATAAAAAAAAAAAAAAAAAAAAATACTGCTCAAACTTTATAGTTTCTGTGAAATTCCACTTTGAGTCTAGTCTAATATTATTCTCAACATTTAATTCACATTGAATCAGAATCACGACAACTGGATCGAAGTGATCCGATCCAGATCAAATTATTATTATTTATAAATGTGTAATGAACAGCAATAACTTTAGCTTTAATTCTTTTTTATTTTAGTTGTTGGTATATTTTGATGGCTGTAAGTGTAATGAGAAAAATGATAATGTGCGTTTAGTTTGGAATAATTTCTATGACAACTTAAAATAGACCCCGCAAATTTCACTGGAACATGCGAACAAGGGTTTTATTTTACGAAAACTGAGAGAAACGGAGTGACGTATATATTATTGTTTCTATTTTTGCGACTGTGCCAGAATCAGGGAATTTTTTCCAGTGTTGGCATGTATGTATAATTCTTTGACACGCTCTGTAGTCTAAACGGCTTGATGACTTTTGGCTTGGAGAAAACGTTAGTTTTTCAATAATTTGCTTGTTAGGATTTGGACTACCTACCGACTGACTCTGGTACTCACTAGGCATGGTTGCTTCAGTGAGTACTTGAATCTGATGGTTTTTTGATTTTAAGACAGTAGTCATTAGAACCAGCAGAATAATGCGATTAGCTGGCTTCTACGAGCCTCTACGAGCCTCAGTGCCTGTTGAAGGTGTTTAAGAAACAATAAAATAGTTTACTCGTATTGTTTCAAATCTATCCCCAAATTTTGGTGACTAATAGTTTAAAATATTGAATCAAACATGAAAAAGTGGGTCTGGACTTATAACCGCGATCGTACACAGTGTTAAATTTGTTAAAA